GACGAGAGAGAGAGAGAGAGAGGCGGGAATGACATTCGCGCTAGTCTGAAGGGGAATGGAGTCTCCTCACCGATCGGATGACCGCAAAGCCGATCACATGGTGAGGAATCAACCCTGATCTACTCGCGCCGACTCGCTGATGGGGTCGATTCTGTCACTGAATGCGAATTCATGACCGATTCCGGTTCGAGTGCTCGATTATAGCATCAGGGTATTTACAAAATATTCCGGGAGAGCTAGAGGAATTCTTGAACAAAAACTTCTTGTTTACAGCACTTCAGATTCTAAAAACGCTCCACGTCGACTGAACGCCGCGAGCTTGCAACGCCGATATGTTTGGCCAGTGTGAGGAGCGAATGCTCTTACGTTGTGTTTTCTGATCGAGCCGTCTCCTTTCCCACAAACGGTCGCCGGCATCACCCTTTCTCATAACGGTCAAACCTCCGTCAGACACCGGTGCGCCAGAGCGATGGTCGAGCAGTAGTGCCGCTCACGACACGTCCGACGTGAATTGTATAACTGGGTCGCGCCAATAGTGAAATGTACTGTAGTGTCAAGTGTTTCTGTGGATAGAGCTCCGCTCTCATTTGGATACCCCTCTTCGCATCTCTCGATTATTACCAGGATCGAGTCTTAGAGGGTGAGTGCCGCTGAATTTCAATTTTTGACAGTCCGGAATGATCCTCGCCAAGAAGGGAGAAGGACGGGGAGTTGAATCCAGGTTTCAGGCGTGTTCCGATCCGGGATACCTCCCGCACAATTTTCAAGGGGAATCTCATACTCACAGCTCTTTTGGACCTAACGTCGATTCTCTCAGAGCTTGACGTTTAAAAAAAATCACTTGAATTATGCGGAGAGTGTCAGAACTCATAGATAGTCGAAGCCCAATGGAGCACCGAGAGCGGCTCAAGAGTCATCGAAACAGAACAAGACCCAGCGGAATACTTTTTTATCTGCCAGAAACGCTCGTTCCATCAATTTTCCCGCCAGTCTTCCTCTCATGAACCTCCCGACGTCTGACATCTCGCTCTAGCTTTCGCTCGGTACAATCATTCGCCATACAAGCGAAGGGAAGTTCTGCCGCCCTTCAGCTTAGAAGCTGCTTGCTCCCTGGAGAACGACCCCTTTCTCCCTCCGATCCAGAAAAGACCTCGACGACGGAAGAATCCACCTCTCTTGCAGCGTGGATGTAATGCATACCCGTTCGACCAGATGCCGAGAAACCCGAGGAACATCTCTTAACAAAACTCGCTCAGCGAGCGAGAGGACCAGAGTCGAATCCAGAGGGAAGGCCCCTCGTTTCCGTCCTCATTGAATGGCTCCCCGCGACTCATTCCATCCGAAATTCTCATTTCGATATGCCCACTAAGCCCCGTTTTCAGCTCAAGAAGCTGTAACGGGCGAAATCTACGAGACTACAGATCGTTGTTTTTCTTCTCTGGGAATCTCTCGGATTCCGTCCCCTTGCTCGGAGGAAGACACCGTGTTGGAGTCGAAACTGCTTCGACATTTCTGTAACTCGTCCGGACACTGGAGAAGTATTCCGCTTGACTTTGAAATCCGCCCAAGGTTTTCAATGTGCTCTTTCCACTAGGGAATGACCCATCGGTATATCGACCCAAATCTCCCATGCTGTTCTCTTCAGCTTCTGGTAGCGCACCCAGAATCACATCGGTTTACTCATCTGTACAGAATCTGAGCAAGAGCATTAGGAGACTTCTTCT